ACGGCGAAGGTGTCAAGGGCTAGGGCGCGTGGTGGCCGAGGCTGAGGAGGAATTTGCGCTTCGGCGCGCCAAAAGGGGATTCTCTGGACGGTTGGGCTTGACATGATTCAACACATGGGTGAAGTCTGAGGTGGTCCGGTCATTTAGGTTGGGCGAGGTAGATGTACTTAATGGTAGTTAACCTGATCCAGCCCGGCCCCACCCGTGCTTAAGCTCCAGTAGGAGTGCAACGGGAATCACTTTACCTAGCACGAAAATGAACAAGACAAAACAAGACTAGATAGCTTATATATAGAGAATAGAAGAACAACAAATCCCTCTGAAGTTCAGAACCTATTGTGCTAGCACATTTAATACCCGTGATATACCGACAAGTCTCTTCGCAGATAATATGATAATATGACGCATTTATATCTAATGATATAACTGTTGAAAGGCTGAATGGTTGGGAGTTATTGCTATTGATGGTACATTTTGTATACCGTCTTTGTGCACAAATATTCGCTGCTAGACCTCTGTACATGATTAACCTTTTCCACTCTCATTTTCAATTGTCACCAATATAGCAGATCTACAATACATGTCCATCTTCTTAACGTTAGACTTAAAGCGCTATCCTATATCCACCCAAGTTGACTGTTACACCCATTGCGACATTTGTTAGACTTCTCATAACCTCGTTACTATAATACATGTGTCCAATCTTTTTAGACCTTACTCAGGAAGCCGGCCCAGATGATGCACCATCGCACCATTCAACCATGACAGTGTTTAGAGTGTTGCCTGCACTCTCGCAAGCGAAGTCTGGCTGAGTGCTCTTCCTTGACGTTGAATCATCTATTCTGTACTTTTCTTTGATATGGTGTCATAACTAGATAGCTGCATACGCAATTAAAATCTGATGCAAAAAAAAAAAAAGCGAAGTCTGGGCGCACGCACAGAGCTCAATGCGTCAAAATTATAGTTCAAGTTCAATCTTTCACGCTCATCGAGATTGTACATATCGTCTGAATCATCCGGTAAATTTGCCTTGATTCCTCTCATGCCCATCCCAAAGAACTGTTTCCCGGATTTGTGCATCACGCTTTGTTTCCTCCGTCGGGCGTGAATATCGGCGTGGGCGTTTATTTGGTGGCCAGCTGAGGCCAGAGAATAGCCGATGAGAGGTGTGATTATTGATATGAGGATGTACTAGGACGTACCTGTAAGCTTGATGAGGGTTTAGTGAGAATCGATCTTGTCGGATGGGAGAAATTGATTAGGTAGAGAGTCTTGAATCATTGCCTCGTAGGCCAACTTGTTCGGTACTGCGAAATTTGACTGAACTTGGCTCTTGGAGAATACTTCACTCCCAGGTTCGTAGGGGAGTCCGCGTACAGGTGCTCAGTCATTGTCCACCGAGGTTCAGATTATAATAAGTGCAAAGAACTTACATTAGACTCAGAGAAATCTAAAGCCAACTTGTAAATAAGAATTGCAGGCGTGCTTTAAGTTTTCAATCTATCGCAAGCCTCACCGTAACGGATACATACGAACGCACAGTTTCCCACTGCGAACCATCTAGCGACCTAAACATTGGGTCTCAATCACTCGGCCCGAACCCCTTATGATGGTGCATTGTCAAAGATCTTTCTAAGTATCCTTCAGCCCTCACAGTAGATTCTCCAGAGCATTGATGAAGCCCCACACCTATGCAAGGAGCATCTATTGTTTATGAGTCCACACCATTCTCTACTACCCAAGATATTATAACAAATATTGGCAAAGTTACTTTACAGTTGAATTTCTCTGAAAAACATTTCATATGTTTCAACGTTACCTCTTTCTAAATTTGATTCCATTTAGCCTGATTTGGCGCCCTATAGGCCTATGCAGGTGTCAACGAACTCTAATATTTACATAGGAGGAAACCTTGCTGTAAAACCCTCCTTAGCCGTCTGATTGGATTCTGCGCCATTGAAGTTTTACCTCTTGGAAGTGCACTCACACAGTTGTTGCCAGTGTGTATTCCGTCCTTGTCCTGTGTTTCCATTTTTCTCTCTTCGCCTGATTAACGCCTCGATTTCTCCGGTCATCCAAGACTGATCTAGCCATCCTTCTTTTTAAATCACCTGTGCAATTCTAGCCACATCTTTGACGTTATTTACCATAGCTTCGAAAGATCGGGTCGTCGATTTCCGTAGCAGCTCGCCTCTTCCCTTTATTCATCTTGGACAAGACATCACCGTGTGCTTAATATTTTGGGACGGTTATCCACATTGGCAGCGTGTTTTTCCTGCTCCTAGTACATTCTTTCTGTGTAAGTAAGCATTGAGCCCAATGTGCTCGCTTCTTGTGTGGCAATGCTGCTCTGGGCCCTGCTAAGGTTTTGGTGGATTTGGATAGGTAACTCTCTATAGTTCATCAAAGGTCTACCTGTTTTCTTATCGTTATAGAAATTTGCAGCTTTCCATTTCACGTTATCACTTGTTTTTCCTGCCTTGCCTACACTCAAGTTGTTGTGATCCTAGTCTGCGCAAGGAAGCAAGGGCTTCACCGGCAAGACTCAGTGATGAAACAACACGACTTTAGTTATGCAAGCTCATATTAATGCATGACTCAAATGTGAGTCGTGCTAATTATCAGGAGCTTAAGGCTCAAATAATGTCGATACGCATTACATGAGTACATCAGACAATCAATGGGCATGGCTGTAGAACAAATCGTACATGTATATTATCAGGTCCATTTACTTCTTAGGTAGATTATGCGTTTATCTCTAGATATCCATTTTTCCCTCAGATAGTCTAAATACATTCGCCCATCACCAGAAAATCATTCCACATTCTCCTTTATATATATACTATTCTACCACTATACTTATCCATATAACCTCATAATTACAACACAAGTTAACTACAGCCGGTCTTTGCAGATGCCTACAAAAAGGCAGCAAATTCTTCGGGTTTAGTCTTGTTTTCGGTAGGAGGAAGCCTCGCATCCGGTTTTTTGAGACTTTACTTTGCAGCTACATACCCACAAATGGTCTTCATTTTGCTGGCTGGAGAGGGAAGATGTCGAAGTATAAAATACTCCTCTAATAACGTGACCAAATATAGACCTATTAAGTTGATCGCTGGAAGTAAACTGCAAGAAAGAAATCGGTATCCTTAGTTGTTTGGTTTGTTTTATCGTATTAGATGAACCTGAGACTTTCTAGCATATTGGGCTCCTCTCTGACCCGGGCTACATCTTGTGCAGTGCTCCTATCCTCTTTAGTAAAATAATCTCTCATATACTGCCCATGATAGATAGCCACTCGGCTCGAAATTACCCGTGGATTTCACTCACCTTTTCCACGGAAGCTTCTACCCAAAAAATGAAAATGGAAACTGCGTGTGCGGGAAAAAGTCTCAAAAACCCTGTAGCCCCAGCCAGGCGAGGCCTAGACACATGGGTCACATGAGGTGTGCATATTCATCTAAATCTCCCTTCATTGTAACAGTCGAGGCCGACTTGATCAAATCCACCATCTCCGTATGGGCTGCTGGGTACGCTCCGGAAACTCATTGGATGGCTTTTCCTCCATACCCGGGATAAGAGTTTTAAGATAAGAATTTTATTATAGCTCCTTCTGAGTCTAAAACTGAAGAATTTCTAGAATATGTAATTTAAATTCTAGCTAATATTTGAATGTAAAAATTTGAGAATTCTTATATTTTCCAATAAATATTGAGGGTCATACCCTGATCACCATGCTCAAGAGTTGGTAATAAGCAGAGCTTTTACCCTCGACCCTACCATATGATCTGATTGTGGTTAGCTTCATGGTAATGATGATAGGGGGACGTATTGGGAGACGAACACGATACATACCGCAAAAGCGATTGGGAATCCTCATGGAAGTGAGTACGAGGGTTCTTCTCAATCTCAGCTCTGAATACTCTGCAGTGAGAGCTTGAAGCTTTTAGGGGACATCACGGACAGGTATCGAATTTTCGTACCCTAGAAACTTGTCGGGATCTAAAGGTCAGTGTATTCGGAATCCCCGTATGAGTTCAAGGTTAATAGAATTTACTTGGAGCCCGACCCAGGTGATACACCAACGCACCATCCAGCCATGACAATGCCTTTGGTGACACCTGTACTACGGCATACGAAGCCAAGACATGCAAATTGCCTTACATAGGAGACTCCATTCTGAATTTGTATTCATCCCTAGTGTGATCATATCCTCCTATCCTATCATCTCCCACTTATATCTCAATGATCTACATCTTGATTACAGCGTTATGATTTATCTCTTTCTTTAGGGTTAAAACTAGCGTAGCCATTTAATTTGAAGGCCATCTAAAGTTATAAAACGAATTAGCGATAGTTGTGGTCATTGAAAGGAGAATATACTTGGTGTTACTTGTAGAATAGATCAAGCTTTGGTCCGAATTGATCTTGTTGGTAGTCAAATTAAATTGATGTAGTAAGGAGCCTTGCGCCATTATCGAATAGGCCAATACCTTCGACGATTCGAAATTTAACTGAACTTGACATTGGGACCATATTTCAGTCCACAATTCTTAGAGTATATCGCAGACAAGTATTCAGTTCTTTTACCCCGCTCATTCCGAACGCTATTACGTCGAAAGCTTTAAAACCCACCTTTTATGGTGACTATATCTCGCTTCAATACTTATTTCATCCCTTCCTTTCAGGCGGAATCCCAACAAGAGGTGCTCTTTCTTATCTTCCAGAATGGCGATGCTTGACATCGGTTGCGACACTCGAATGAGTCGGCGCGAGTGTTATTTACGTAGGAAACTGTTCACATGTTACAAGCATGCCGACTCAGGCGAGAGACTAATTTGATAGGGATAGGAGATCGACAATCAAATTTTCGTGAATCCGTATCCGTGGCTCTTACACGGAGCTTGAACCGTTAAGACTAAAGGCCTATCTCACAATCCCACATACCCGATCATTAACCTCACTTAGTCGAGTGAGGCGCGCCTTGCTCGTCCAATACCATGTACCAGACAGGCACGATAGCGCCGAGACAGGACTCGAGCAGTGACCACTTTGTCGGCGAAGGACAGCATTTCACGCGTCGAGGCGTTCTTGTTGGCCTCGTTGTCGGCCTCATTATGTGCTGCACCAACATGTACTTTGGTTTGCAGAGCGGATGGGTCTCTATCATGTCCATGCCGAGCTCTCTCGTGGGCTTCGCCTTCTTCCGCAGCCTATCGACCCGACTACGGCTACCCTTTTCTCCTGTCGAAAATGTCCTCGTGCAATCGGTAGCCGGCAGCATGGGCACTATGCCGCTGGGCTGCGGCCTTGTTGGTGTTATGCCCGCCATGAGCTATCTTCTCAAGCCCGAAGAACAGGGCCCGATCTTCTTGAGCTGGTGGAAATTAACTCTTTGGTCCCTCGGCCTATGCTTCTTCGGCGTCGTCTTTGCCGTACCTCTGAGAAAGCAGGTTATTATACGGGAGAAATTAAAATTCCCATCCGGCACTGCGACAGCCCAAATGATTGGCGTCTTACATCGCAAGCAGACGGCCATACGCCTGCCTCCATCTAATACTCACGAAGATATTTACTCGAATCAAAACGAACGCGTGGAACATGACCAACAAGAAGAAGACACTGATCAGGATCCCAAACAAAGCTGGAAATCCAAAATCAAACTCCTCGGCATATCGTTTGCAGTCTCGGGTTTTTACATTTTGGCCACCTACTTCTTCCCTCACCTCAGATCTCTCCCTATTTTTGGCACTACCCTTTCAAATGTCTGGCTATGGAATCTCAATCCATCTTTGGCCTACGTTGGTCAGGGAATTATCATGGGGCCCGTCACGACTGCCCATATGCTTTTTGGAGCTATACTCGGGTGGGGAATCTTATCGCCTCTAGCCAAGAGCCAAGGCTGGGCTCCCGGTGCGATAGGAGACTGGGAAACCGGTAGCAAGGGCTGGATAGTATGGATCTCTCTTAGTATCATGATTGTTGACTCGATTATTGGCCTCGGCTATATTGGCTTTTCATACCTTTTACGATCTGGGCTATTTTCGGCGACTCAAGGGACCCGCCGACAGACCTGGTACAATTGGCCGCGACGCTTTTACCTTGATGCTCTACGGGAGAACGCCGAGCAGGAATATACGCCGCTTGCCCAAGAGGCTGTGCCATCTCGAGGACCCGAGGGAGACAGTACGGCTTATGAACAAGTCTCGAAGCGTGTCGAGGCTCATCTACCGGACCGTGAGGCCCCGCCGCATCATCTCGTTGACAATCGCACTGTCTTAGTATGTGGTATTTTATCCATCCTCCTCTGTGTTGGTGCCACTCATATTGCCTTCGGCTCATTCATGCCTATCGCTGCCACAGGCCTGGCCATTCTCTTGGCCCTTATACTCTCAGTCATGGGCGTGCGCGCACTCGGCGAGACCGACCTTAATCCAGTCTCGGGTATCGCCAAGCTCACGCAGCTGCTCTTCGCTCTCTTTATTCCTTCATCCCACGCGAATTCTGTGCCCATTAATCTCATTGCTGGCGCTATCTCCGAGGCTGGCGCATTGCAGGCGGGCGACCTAATGCAGGACCTTAAGACAGGTCACCTACTCGGCGCCGCGCCACGCGCTCAGTTTTGGGGTCAGATAATTGGCAGTGCCGTAGGTGCTCTCGTCAGTCCCGCCATCTATCGCCTTTATACCCGCATCTACCCAGTGCCGGGAGATCTTTTCCAGGTTCCGACGGCTTATGTCTGGATCTTCACGGCACGTCTCGTCACGGGTCAGGGTCTACCGGCCCGCGCCGCACAGGCTTCACTAATCGCCGCAGTCATCTTTACCATAACCTCTATCCTGCGTATCCTGCTAGCTGGCAAGCCCTTACAGTCCTTTGTGCCCGGTGGTATAGCAGTCGCTATCGGCATGTCTTCTTCCCTACTCTATGACTGCCTTTCTAATTCGTCTGAATAGGCATTTATAACGAGCCCTCCTTTACTCTCGCGCGTGCTGCTGGTGGCTTGGTAAGCTGGTATTGGGCGCGTCGCTATGCACACGACGACACCCGTCTTATTATTATCGCGAGCGGACTTATACTCGGCGAAGGCGTCCTCGGAATCGTAAATCTTCTTCTCGCGAGTATCGGTGTCCCCCATGCATCATCTGCATAATCTCGCGCCGCAAACTTGTTCTATTCCTGCCCTCTCCCTGGCCTCTCTATCATTACCCTCAGTTAGCCTTAAACATGGATATCATCACTCGTTCTTTCCATTTGCGCTCAGAGTCGTATGGAATCATAAACTAGAACCATTACGCTTTTCACCGCGACTCTCCAACACCCGATAGAAGGAACAGGCTTCGCGCCTAGAAATAATATCTTACTCTCATTTCCACTTATTTTTTGGACCTCAGTTTCAAGAATCGTCCGAAACGATCTTCAGGTTTGAGAATTCGGTGAAAATTTTGGAATATTTACTACACTCGTTTGACGGTGAGGCCCCTTGTAAATTTTTGCATTCAAGCTGCTCAAATCACAACAAATCCATATATATATATATATATATATATACATCATTCTTGACTCAAATTAGTGGTAGTATTTTTTTAATTCAACCAATAAAAGATACGCCCATGACTCAATTTTAAGATCTGTTACTAAATATCCATATTCAAGGCTCAAAGTGGAGCAGACTCACTCTAATTAACAATATTTACTGCCTAAAAGCTCGAACCCCAAAGAAGTAAGTGTTTAGCGTAGTGTCTAGAAGGAAAACAATATGACTCAACGATATAGGGGCATCGAGAGCTGAAAGTAATCTTTTACCATGATCAACAGCATCCTGTACTCAGAGCATAGGAGATTATCCACATCAACTTGGACCTCAAACTTGCGCCAAAACCTATTAAAATAGGTTTCATGTTAAAATTCGCGGCTTATTATCCGACGCTCTGATTCTGGTGTCCTGTCTAATTCTCTTTCGTTTGAGCCTGAATCTTCCTGTCTCCAGAGCCGCACTCGAGGAATATTCAACCTCATATCCTGTACCCAATTCAATTCTTCATCCTCATTTTCCCGCCCACCAAAAATATCACTATCACCACTTTCTACCATTTCTGATGGTGAAATTGTCCCGTAACCTGGCGAATGGCTCGAAGATGTGCCCTGCCTATAATGGCGTCCCGTAGCATTCACTGCATCAATCGAACATGTCCGGCGATTTCTACGAAACAGTCTAGTAGGCATGGAAAAGGAAGGATGATGTCGCGACTTATGTCGAGATTCAGGAAGATTTGCTGGTGTCTGAGGTTGTGTTGACGGAGACATTTCATCATTATACACTTGATAGCTTCGGGACAGTGCCCCTACACGTGAGAATGATCGATTTTGGTGTCGGATTTGAGTAAAATCATTCGATTTAGGAGGGGTTACGACAGTGAATGTAGCTCTATAATCAGGGATTTCATGCTGACTAGTAACTGGCTCAGGTGGTTGAATATTGCTAGTTTCGCTCTCTTCTGGGATTTGAAGGCCCTGTCTAAAACTGTCCATGGGGGTTAACTCGAAATCACTCGTTACCCAGGTTGATTGTGAATGAGTTCGGGAAAAATACCGCGACGTGGTCGAAAATGGTGGGGGTAGTTGAAAGCGCACGATCGGCATGTCAAGGCTCCCGCTAAAGCGATCATTTGGGTCGGGGTTTTGCGAGGTTTCATTGTTGTGTGAGTTGTCCAGTGTAACCTCCGGATTAGTTAAAAAACTATGTTGCAAGTTTCTATGATGGCAACGCTCATCGGAAATTTGTGAAGTGAGCTCATAAGAACTCTTGGCATTTGCTCCCTCTTCCTCGTCAAAAGTATTGCTGTTTTGTTCCGAAGATCCGAGAGAAAAACTATTATCCAGATGTCGAAACACCGTATCTGGATATCTATGGTATATCTGATGATGTTCTAAATCTAAAAGCTTACACAGCTCATTGTTAGCTACCTTAATAACGAAGAGAGTTTACAGTGAGACTCGAAACACCATCAAAACAAAAACTATATCGTGATGTTGACAGAAATTGTCTTCCAGCGCAAATGAAGCTTGGAGCTTACATCATTATCCTTAATCGCCTGCCTTGTATAAAATTCTTGGGCTATGAAAGTCAGCAACTTCTTACACTGAATTTTAAAACCTACGGAATGACGATGGCTCTTCCACGGAGTAATTTCCTTTATCAATATCTTTTGAGAGACCCCAGCGATGAGATTTTTCTGCTGCTGGAGTAGACGCTTCAAAGATCACTTCGGTCCCGCCTAACTTCTCAATACATTCCAAGCAAAATTCATCTTTTTGTTCAATAAACTGTGGATCCGAAACTTCCGGAGAGTTTTCATTGTACCGCGGACTTGAAGCTAAGACCTCTTCTTTTCTATAAAAAGTTTCACTTGTGTTTAATTTAACTCCAGCCGAATCATTCCCGGCAGATAGTGTGAATTCAGATAACTTTTCGATCAAAGGGGCTAATCCACTGCGTTGATCAATTCTTCGGTGATTATCATACTCGCGTATGTCATTATGACCTAAGCCAATTGCCGTGGGTTGGAGCCGGATCATGAGGATTGTCTGCGTACGTGTCTAGATGATATATGGCCCATAAATAATTAATATTACAAGGTATCTTTAAAGGGGCCAAAGAATTGGAGTAAAATAGTGTAGTTCTGTTTTCTTGCAAGGATAAATCTTGCCCGACTTCAGGCTCCGATCAAAAAGGGAAGTCAAGACCCAATTTCTGCTAAAATAATTTGAGCGATAATCCGTTGATTTGGTGATTCTTAATCGACAAGTCAATCAAAGATTAGTGCAATATTCCAACGATATCGGCAGAAATGACTATTTTCTATTTAATTCTGTACCATTTCCTTGAAGTGAGCTCTTGGACATCCAACCACCACCTAAGTACACAACTCTCAGCCTAAGCTGGGTGTAGAATGGAAGCCTCGACGACTAGTTCCTAGTCCAAAAATTGACACTTCTAAGAGATCAGAAAATATCTCTGGCATAACTGAGTAATTGTAGCCTGAGAGGGACTAATGCTCTCTCTTTGCTTAAGTTCTGTGGAATTTAAACAAAAAATGACTGTCGCTCTCGGTCATCTGGAAGTCTAACCTGTGTTAGGCAAAATATATGTGATTAGACAAAGATAACTCGAAATGTACAAGTTGAATATTTTTCTCCTGTAATTCTAACTCTATATGTACAGTGCTCTTACCGTTATGAAAATGGAAGATCTAAAAATGAAACTATTTTAGTTGATTCTCATTGAAAGTTATCATGGGGAAAGAAGTACGCTTTGTCCAAAATAGATTTCCAGGATTACGAGGTTAGGTATAATTCAACATAGCCTTTATACTCGCTGTAACATGGACTTCAGCAGTAGTTGTATGCCGTTGGAAATAGAGGAAGACTTTCGATGAACTACACAGGAAAACCAGTTAAAATCTACGAAAAGTTAAGTAGGGCCCAGAGTAGCATCACTACAAAAGAAGCGAGCACATCGGAATTAAGGCTTACTTATACTCAAGAAATGTTCCAAAAGTCGAGCCCCCGTGTTGCCAATACGAATATGTGTCCCAAAACGTCAAGTAAATAATAATATCTTGCTCCAGATGGCTAAAAGGGGGGGGGGGGCGGGATGCTAGGAAATCAGAAACGTGGTCTTTCGAAACTATGATTAATTATACCAAATATATAACTAGATAATTAAAGAATATTCAAAAGGAAGAACTACTAGAGCAGTCTAATGTGACTGGGGAAATTAAGGCTATAATAGGGCAAATGCGAGAGGAGAGAATGGCAGTGAAAGAAGAAAATCCAAACCGACTGTAATAGTAGGAGTGCACTCTCTTGAGGTAGATTGATAAAAGTGTAGAATTAAATCAGACAACTCAGGGACTCTGCTACGTAAAGATTAGAATTCGTAGACTCTCGTATTGGCCCACAGGGAGCCGTGGTTGAATCGGGTAGGCGATGAATTTCGATTTATCAAAGTACATGGAGGGAAGGGAGATGTCTAGCTGCTACCAACAGGTACTGGTAACAGTTGATACGAGGGGCAAAGACTCAACGCCTGTTCGCGGTGTCCCCTACGAGTCTATAAGTGGAATATTCTCCCAGAGAAGTTGGCCCATGAGGTAATGATTCTAGACTTCTATTCCAAACCAGGTAGATTCTCATCAAGCACGAGTACGTCCTGGTTTCAATAACCATACCTCTAGTCAAGTCAGTCTCTGCCCTCAAATGGCCTCCACATACTCGCCCACCGGGAGATGGATATTCACAGTGCACCAAAGTTCTTGGCGCAAAAAACTTAGAGGCAGGTCGTTGAGATGGAAGTGAAAGATTTTAGTACAGATGTACAATGCGATGCTTGAGATGGATAAAACTCTTAATATTAGCCTTACCTACTCTTGAGTTTTGTGAGCACCAATCCACTATTTGCCAAGATGCAGGCAGTAATTTGACGTCATAGTTCGGTTATTGATACGCGAGCAATCGGATTGAAGAAAGTAGTTTACAATTATCTGTGGCTATTTATGTGATTTGTATTTGCATTTTGCCTGGATTAGGTTCTAAGATAATGCTTCATGTCCATCTTGGGTCTAGGCCCGGTGGAGCTGGTGGGGATCTTATCGACTTTAAACTTGTTGTCGACATTGTATATGTATGTCTGTTATCACAGACATTGGAAATAATTCATGAGATTGCTTAATGAGAGGCTAGATTTGATTCCGATCTAATATTGTAGAGGGCCTCTCCCAACTATCAGAGGGCTAGAACATCTTTATCTATCTACGGGTAAATTTCCCAATTTCCAACCACGCTAGACATATAAGATGTAGCATATTAAACTTGATTTGTATAATCATTTTGTGGTTGAGGTTTACCGTGCATATGCTACTCGAGTCGCATGTCTGACTACTATGCGATACGCTCAGGTATCAATCTACCAACCCACACCAAACCGAAACTATTCACAACCCTGATGATGACCCCATGAATAATTGTAACAGTAACCTGCAACATAGCACAATTAGGCTAGACATCGTTGACCAGGACCTAATCCGAACAGGATCCCTGTGGTTTTCCCCACAGCCCAACTCACTCCAATCGCATGAATCGTCACTGAAACTGAAGTAGATTAAACAGGAAAACGAAAACAAAACAACACCGAAAACTAGAAGATTCCTCCATTTGGGACCTAAGCAATGCGCACCTCACACCTTCCAAGTGACAATTTCCTCAACCTCCGCTGAGAGCAAGAGATGAGTTAGAGGGTACCATTGATTCAGTCGGTATCCTACTATTGGTTAGTAAGACCTAAAAGTGCGCTTCCAAGGTCGCTGTGCTTTCAACCTTCTTCTTCGGACTCCAGAGCCCCGAAGCCCGATCCTTCCGTCATGGAGACTTCAATGTTAGAGGCGATAATTGCCTTATCGACCCTTTTCGCTGTAGCCCTGGCTTTTGCTGCCACTGAAAACCTCGCTACCTCAACTTCATGAATTGCCGCGAGATGCTCTATGTTTACCGGTCCAGGCTTCCGAGCGCATATCTGATACGCAGCCCCAGCAGGCTGGAGCGCGGGAGCAACCACGGATCGCGTGGAAGCCCAAACGGCGTTTGTAATGTTCGACTTGTGAATGGTAGCTATTCTAGACTCTTCTGCATCGATTATTATTGACCCGCGCAGTGCTTATCTTTACGGGCGCATTTGTGATCCCGAGGGAGACCAAGTTGGAGGGTGCTTTTAATTTGGCGATGATACTCGCCGCATTAGAAGAGGCATCTTACCTGCCTTGTCCGACTTCATCGTCATTTGCCAGCAAGGCAAAGCCGTCTTTAACCCCAATGAATCGAGCTTACGTCGAAGAGTTTGCAATTAAAAAGAGTCTCCACTTTATCTCGTGCGCAGACCGGCAAAAATTTGCGGCAGTTGTGGCTGTTCTCGAAGCGAAGAAACAACAAGTTATTGACTTTTTCCCTCGAGGAACCTTTCTCTTGGGATGTTGCTGCTGTTTGCAGCAGTGCCTTTACAATCGGGACTCCCTTTTCACGTAGTCCCTTCCGTGCCATCGTAACCCAGGTGCCTTTTGAAGACTACACTAGGACGGCGGGACTCCTTGGGGGAGGTTTCGCCAGGTGTCAGATAGTAGAAAGGCAGTTGGTATTAAGGAAATAATGACCCCTCAGTCATTGAGGTTTTTTGCTTTGTTTTGTTTTGTTCATTAACTTGCTAGGTATAGTGATTCCCGTTGCACTCCTACTGGAGCTTAAGCACGAATGGGGTCGGGCCGGATCAGGTTAACTACCGTGAAGTACAGATATACCTCTTTCCATTTAAATGATCGGACCACCTCAGACTTCACCTATGTGTTGAATAATACCAAGCCTAACCGTCCAGAATCCTGCTGTATACACGCTGTAGCGCGATTTCCTCCTCAGCCTTGGTCACCACGCGCCCGAGCCCTTGACATCCTCATTGACTCCGAAATATAAAATTAGTCCCAGATCTCATCGTTGCTCTAGCCTTGCACCTTCATGTCGTACCGTTGGGTTGCTTTCGTCATTGAGGATTTGTGTAATCCCCTTGGTGTATCTTTCCTCTTCTTCGTCCTTTGTACACATCCCGTTTCCATCATGACTTTCCTCATTAGGGCGTGTGTATGTAGGTGATTGGACGAGTATGGAAGTGTGCCGCAGGTAAAGGATCGACAGAGAAATGCTTCGTCGCAAATATAAAAGGAGTTTGAGAGATGTTGGATGTTTGAATACGACCCCCAGACAGACCTAAATCCATTCGTAAACCGTATGTTAGTGGTGATGAGTTTTTGTTCAACTTTGTTCCGGCTGTGAAATCTCTGCCGACTGATTTTTCGACCAAAATATCGAGTGCAACTCCTTCAAGTCGAAAATCCATCAATTATAATTCATCCCACCCATTTTCGTGACTGAATCTCGGCTCTGGAAGAACATTTCACTCACAGATTCGTAGAGGACACCACTGACAGGTGTTCAGCCTTCGTCCTCCGCAAAATGTTGTTTGTCATTACACAGGTTACTCTTCGACGACTTAGTAGTTTTAAGTAATTCGTGTGGATGTAACATTGTGATTATGTCTTTGCACAATTTAAGGGTACAAGGCTGAATAGTCAGCCTCGTGTAATTTTATTATAGATGTATCACTATTTTGATTTTGATTTTGATTTCATTTAGCCCGATTTGGCGCCTTAAGGCCCATGCAGGTGTCTACGAACACTAATATTTATATAGGAGGAAACCTTTGTGGTAAAAACCCCCTCAACTTCTCAATTTATATACACTTTAAGTTTGTGTTGCCTTCGCGAAGTGCACTAATACTGTTTTATCCAGTGCGGATACCGTCCACTCCCTTATTTATGGCAAGAGACCAATTCTCCTTGCTGACCTCTCTCTCACTCATCTTGGCCTCGACTTCAAGCGTCAGTCGAAACTGCTCTAGCCTTCCTTCCTGCTGGATCCATCTAGTTGTCCTTGCAATATCTGTGGGATTGTTCATCATGGCCTCAAATGACCGGTTCTCTGCCTTTCTTAGTATTTCTCCTCTTCCTTTGGCCCAGCTGGTGCAGGCCATGACCATATGCTTCACATTCTGGGACGGATATCCACATTGGCATCGTGGGTTATCTACTCCTGGAACTTTTCTTCTGTGCAGATAAGAATTGAACCCAATGTGTTCGCTTCTTATCTGCATGGCTATGCTGCTCTGGGCCCTGCTCAGGTGTTTATAGATACTAGAAGGTGTTCCTCTTTGGCTCATTCCTGTCTTTCCCGTCTTTTCATCTGTGTAAAGATTTACTGCGTTCCAGATTTTGGGATCTGCTGTGGCGTGGTGGTTAGTAGTTTGCATGGCCGTTAGTCTCGTCCAGGATCGTTCCCATTCTTTGAAAGCTGCGACCTTTCCAGCCGCTTTCCGTCGTTCTTTTGTGTCTATATTTCCACATGTTCGACCGCACTCCGCAATATCCAAGGTCCTCGTGACAGCTCGTGCGTCTTGCCTTCCAGCTCGGGGTTGCTTTATCTTCCTGCATGCCGACAATATCGTATCATGAACGGGCAGGTTTTTCGATAGTCCGGCGTGCTGGACCCTCCTTAGTTTCAGATGAGTCTCCATCGGTAAGGTAGAGGTCTCATGCTCAAGTATCTTGCTGCTGGTCGAATTATACGCACCCGTGACGATCTTCAGACACCTTCTTTGGATACTTCGAAGTGGCTTGATCACTATTTCGGGGATTTTGCCTGCCATTCCGGGCTCGGCCTAAATGGGGGATCCGTAAGTCAGAGTTGGTCTCACCACTGCATTGTACACAAGTTTCGCCTTGTGGAACGTTGCACCCCAAGTTGATTGTGCCAATCTACCTAAGGCTTGTATTTGTGGTTCGACTTTGAGCTGTATGTTTTGACATGAGCACCCCAATTGAGCTTCGAGTCGAGGTGGATGCCTAGTACTCGGAGGGAAGGTTGCAGCTGGGCGAGATGGCCTTGGATTTGGACTGTGGCCTGCATGTTGTGCCTCTTTCTAGCTCTTGAGAAGTGCATTAGCTGGTACTTCTCCGGAGCAAATTTTACACCATGCCGGTCAGCCCACTTTTCGCAAATCCCATGGAGCCTTTCGAGATTTCGACAATTTTCTTCTGTAGAGTTAGACCAGGTCAGTATGTTAGTATCATCCACGAACCCTATAGTCGTTGAAGACGGCGACTGAAGTTCTGGAAGAAGCGTGCTAACAAAGAACAAGAAGAGGATCGGCGAAAGAGAAGAGCCTTAAGGAATCCCAGTACTTGTAGGAAATTGTTCTCCTTTGAACGAACCAAGGTTCATCGACGTAGTTCTATCCTCTAGAAACGATTCAATGAAAAGCGTCGTCCATCTTGGTATACCTTTAGCCCTCATGTTGTGGATGAGTCTCTCGTGCGACACATTATCGAAAGCCCCGGATATGTCCAGGCTGAGTAGAGATGCAACTCTCCTTTTGTTCTTTCCCCATATTGAGTGTACTTGTTCTGTAATAAGTTCCACTGCGGAGATCGTGGACCTTAATTGTCGGGCTCCCATCTGTTCGTCAGGGAGTAGATGATGAGCTTCGGTTGCTTTCGATAATCTGTTTGCCACCAGCTTTTCGAGGACTTTTCCCAAGGTATTCAGGAGTGCGATTGGTCGATATGATTTAGGATTGATGTATCACTATTGTAGTTTAAACAAGAACATCTCTATCCCAACGTACATTGTTATCTGATCAGATACCAAGGCACAGCCTATCCAACATAAACATACCTCAGTATTTTCGAATGAGACTCATAGTATGAGTGTCTCTAACGTCAAAATATTCCTTCAAAATATGCATATAACACTGACCATTTTTTGAAGATAGATAGCTGAGTACACACCAAATGATAAAAAAGCGTAATTTAAATAAACGGCAGCTCTCGGGTTGGCATCCTCATAGACATTATATTCAAAGGTCATGGCAATTAATTGCACAGTAGCGTGAAAATTCCTTTGCTCCTTTAACACGCGGCTTTTTGTGTGCTAAAATGCTGAGATAGTAACTACAAAGCTTCGATCAGATAGAACGGTTGTTGCTCGCTGAAAATTATCTCCCCTAATCTTATTTGCAATAAAGTCTTCCTACGGATGATAGAACTCCTACAACGTTGGATTCTACGCGAACTAACCAGTAGCCTGTTTTGGAAACTAAAGAGCCTGTGCATTTATTTGAAACCCCTCTAGATGGCCTTCACATCTTCAATTTTATGTTTTTGGGTCATTCGAGCACGATCTTTTAAGTGCAAAGTGTGCTTTAGTTCGGCCTCATGCCACAATTTCTTTAAAATTGGCCAGCCATCCTGCACAGCACCAGTTTCATGTTTCAGCTCTGCCTCATCTAAATTCTGAAGATGAAGTTTTCCCTCCACGATGCGTGCACTGCGGATGAATTTCGTCGGCTGCCTATGCTTCACCATCTCTTTGTGCACTCCTTTTAGAGTATAGCCAAATGGGCCAAACACTGCTGCAAAATCTTTAAGAATAAACCCCGTAAACCCCATCCCTACACCCTTCATAAATCCTACTAATCCATCGTCACGTGCGCCTGTGTATGGTTGCACCACTAGGCCAGTGAAGCCATCATAAATACCATTGAAAAATTCCTCGCCAGCTGCTCTTAATCCAGACTTGATTCCAGTAATTCTTACTGGCCTCCTCACAGTAGTATCACCATAAAGACGAGGTGCGTTGTGAAAACCTTAAATTTATTAGTAATAGGATAATTAAGGACAGTTACTTGCCTTGAGCAACAGCTAATGATAAATCCATCGGTGCTTTCGCAATAGCCCCGGCGCTTTTGCCAACGCTTGACTTCAACACATGTGCCATTTCTACTCCAGCATTCTCATCTTCGTCCGGCCCATCTGAATACTCCAATGGCTCATTATCAGGCACTTCTGTTTTTATTTTTTCTCTACAACTTTTAGTATGGGATTCACTCTCTCCATGAAAGCCGAGCAGTTCAGCAAAAGAATGACTCTTGCGGTATGCTTCTGACTTCGTATTAGAAATTAACATATTTTAAAGGCTGAATTGATAAGAGTTTCAATTTTTTCTTACCTAGATTATTATCAGCCGCAGCACTATTTACTTGCTGTTTTGAGGTTGATTTTTCATCTTCTTTATTCTCAAAGTTAGTATTGACGAGGGTCTTTGTTTTTTTGCTACGTTTCAAGCGTTTTTTAGCATTCTTTCCAATTTTAAAAGGTATACTACCTATTCCAGTGGCAAAGCCTGTGAATGTACCTACGATAGCAGTAGCTCCACCAGTTAATGGCTCTCCAGGGCCCTCAAAGTCATTCCATTCTTTGTGCCGTATCAACCTTAACTGCTTCCAATTAACTCTCTTTGCCCGTACTAGTAGCTCAGCTGCTAATGCTGATAAACCGATATCTGTCTTCTTCAAGCTCCAAACAGCGACTCTATTCTTGAGTAGAGAACATCGCATACTTTGTTGGCCCTCAAGCTCAAGATTTCGGTGAAATGAAGCAACTGCATTCTCTGCACCATCACCTTCAGCCCTAATATTTTCAGCTATCTTCTGCGCATGGTCTTGTACTTCATTTGTAAGACACTTCCTAATACCATCTGCTAATGCACTTGCAGTTAGACTTTTATGCGGAATAGGGGAAGCCCCAGCTCCTGATTTCTCAATTCGTTCACCCCAAAATCTTTGATCACCGAAAAATGGCACAATCATTGTCGGTTTACCGAATTTCATGCCAGCTGCCGTTGTACCAGCCCCCCCATGGTGAATAACTGCCGAAACTTTAGGAAACAGCCAGTCGTGAGGAACATTTCCAAGAAGAAAGACGTTATCAGGAATCTCTCCTTTTCCTAATCCTCCCCATCCCTCTGAAATCACAGCTCGTACACCAGCTTCCTTGATAGCATCGAGTATCATTCGAGTAAATCCATCCGAGTCCTCAACAACAATGGATCCAAATCCAATGTATATTGGAGCTGGGCCTATATTTAAAAAGCTAATTAAATCTTTTGGTGGTATAAATGAAGAAGCAAGTTCCAAAAAAATAAATCCTGCAATATCAATTTCTTCGCCCCAATCACCTGGCTTCGGAACTAGGGTCGGACTCCACAAATATGTGTAGGGAACCTTAAGTCGATAAAGTTGTCCAGGCGCCCAGAGTGTGGAAACGGGTTCGAGACCAAGGGTTTTGACCCTGAATTTATTGACTAAATCTCCAAGCCTGATCTCATAAATCAGTCAGCTCTATAAGAGTCAAAAACATTGTTAAATTACCCTTGCCATGTCATCATTTCAACCAAAGGATAGGACATAAAGTTAGTATAGCCTAGATCTAAATTGGATTTCTTAATATTTGCCAAGGGATGAGGAAATTCTTGTGTAGGGCTATAAGGAAAAGTGAACATGAGATGTAATGGAATCCCCAATCTTTCTGCGCAATGAATGTGAGCAAATGAAGGAGGATTGGCTATGATAGCATCAGCAACAAATGGTGATTTTTCATTCAACATTTTGATATTCGCATGGTTTTTTTCGTCGTCGGTAGCGCTAATACAAGCTCTCCAAAATCCTGCAATTAAAATTTAGTCTTCACTAGGCTTAAAACTGTAGGGATTAGTGTTGAAGGTTGGTATCAAGACCATCTTAGTACACGTGCTTAATGTAGGCCTAATTTAAAAAAAGGAGATGTATGGATTACAATACTAACCTTCAAACATTTCGGCCATCTGAGATCTCTTTCGACTGACCTCCCCTTTCTTGAGAGTTTCCATAGTGGGGATCATTCCCGGGTTCTTTACCATGAATGCCATTAACTCTGAAGGATCGCCACCTACCGAAAAAAATTCAAGCTCTGAATCTTTTTCAACAAACTCCTTGAATGCTGGATGTGTAGCGATACGAACCCTATGTCCATAGTTCTTCAAGCTCTTCCCAAGTTTTAAAAATGGCTGAATATCTCCCCGACTGCCAATAACCATCACCACAATATTTAGCGAAGGTGGATGCACGTTTTTTGTGGCTATCGTTGTTGGGCTATCGGAATGCTTCTTAGGACCAGATGATGTACGAGAGTCGTGATGTTTCAATGATGAAGCTTTAAAATGTTCTACAAAAGAAGCACCTAGTGCCTTGGCTAGATATCCCCGATCATTTTTGTCGTTAATACTTATATTGAGCCGGCCATCATTTCTAGAAATTCTACCTTTGGTTTGAAATTTTTCATTTGAAACGTTAAAATTTGAATAGTGATTTTTGTTTAATTTTTGACTTTTATTTTCAGATGAGAGTCTTTTATTCTGACTTGCTGTAGAGCTACACGATTCGCATTCGCTATCACTAGCGTCTAAATCCTCTGCTTCTTCGTCCGCAGTCCGTGATTTTCTACGATAATTCTTTGAACTGTTGGACGAACTCAGCCGAGAACCTTTCGAGTCTGTTTGTGGCAGCATAGCCGGCAATAAATTTGAGGCGCCAGTACTTGGAGCTGAGCGGGCATTTGACTCGAATTTGTCGGCGCTTACTTCTCCGAACCTACTGACGTCTTCAAAGCCTTCCATACCTTAAACTCAGGACCAATGTTATAATTTGAATTCTTATGATTTATCAAAATAAAGGATGAGCATCAGTATAAAAAGAAAGGTTAGAACGGATAGATGAGCCGAATGAAAAATAAGAGTTACCGTGGCTTGCTTTGATCATGCTCCAACGAAAACAGTACGCCAATCGAGTAGATAATTAGTGGCACAGGGCTTGACGTATGACAGTGGCAAATGAGATGCAGCCCTTTTCCGCCACACCTTATGAAGCTGAATTAGGCAAGAGATATGCTCTACTTCCTAGCCACAAGTGAAAGTCACAAAGCAATATTAGTCATCTTCTCTGAGCTCCTCTCTCAGTCACTCTAGAAACTACAAGAATAAATTTTTGGCCTAAAAAAAAAAATATACAGAAATTATCATAAGCTGCTGAGAGGAGCGGATCTGCCTCATCCAGACTTGGAGCTGTGACTAACATGATAATGAGTGAGTGTTCAGTTTACTGTAGTACTTGAGTCTGAGGCTATCAAGCATATTGGGCTCCTCTCTGGCCCAGGCCACACCTTGTACAGTGCCTCTATCCTATTTTATTGCTCAAAGAACTCTGATATATTGCCCGTGATGAATATCAATTCAGCTAAGTATTTACCCATGCAACTCAGCCATCTTTTCCACGGAACCCTCTGCCCAAAACAAGAATGAAAAATGGCAGCAATGGATACTGCGTGCGCGGGAAAAGGTTTAAAAAAACCTGCAGTCTCAGCCAGGCGAGGCCTAGATACCCATATTGTATCATAGCTAGATAGCTGCATACGCAATTAAAATCTGATGCAAAAAAAAAGAGGCCCTAGATACCTGGAACAGATGATGTGCGCATACCCATCTATATCTCCCTTCTTTGTAACATTGGAGGCCAATTTGATCCAATCCAACATCGCCGTATCGGGTGCTGGATACGCTCCGGAAACTCGTCGAATGGTTTTCCTCCATGATCAAGTGTTGGTGATGAGAAGGGCCTCGGCCGTGAAACCTGATCTGATCGTGGTTAGCTTTATGCCGATAGTTACAAGGAGATTGTTCTGATGGGTGAAGACGATACAGACCACGAAAGTGATAGGGAATCTTCATGGAAGTGAGGTTGAAGGTGTAACTCAAACTTGGCGCTGCAGACTCTACAGTGGGAGCTGGAGACTCATAGGGGACACCACAGATAGGTGATTAGTTTCGTCTCCTCCAGTCATTAATATCAAGGTGCATATGACTACTGTTTCAACAGTTGTCTCATCTACTGACGAATTTGCTTCTTGGGAACAATTTTGGCAGCGGCAGCAGCATAAGGATAAAGAATCTGGAACTCTTTAGCCGGTTAGGAAAGAGGTTGGGGCTATTCAGGTCTGGCTGGTCAAATGTGGTTGGAAATAGGGCGCTGGAGACCAGAATGTGCCTCTGATATGACAATGGAAATGTCAGCGTGCCAGAGAATTAGGGTCCGCAATGAGCTTGCGAAAAGGCTTTGTGGGGCGTCAAGAAAGGCAATCCCCACTGGCATCTTCCTCTAGGACACAAGCAATATTTTGAGACAATAGAGTAGTCTCTTGATTCTTTGTGTCGGCAGCGGGGGTGGTTGACAACAACATTTCAATAAACAACTCCAATCAACTCATTTTGAGGTGGGGAGAGGATGAGAGGAATGATGATTGCTTGAAGGAGTGTAGACTGTTTTACAAGATTGCGTGCTCCCATGTAGTTTGTTTGATTTACATTCCACGCCAAGTTGTTACAAGGGATAACCCAGGCCTCTGAGCCCTTCAAATAGCGCTGGGACCGCCCGCGCAGCCTAAGGAAGCTAGGTATTTCTATCGTCTTATGGCCAACCGTATTGTTCTACACCAGCAGCTCAACGCTGAGCCAATATCGTCTGAGTCCACAACCAATTCTTCAAAATTTGCTTCTTTTTAAAAAAAAAATTCTTGATGTGTATTCAGCTATTTAGCTATGACACATGTCTGGTGCTATGTATAGATAACGTATGACCCCTTTGACGCTAGAGACACTCATACTCTGAATTTCATTTGCAAATACCACTGAGGCATGCTTGCTTACACAAATAGTCGGCCCTCCTCCGTAAGTACCCACCAAAGGGACGTTTCAAAACCTTTGCTTATCCAAGCATGCCTTCGTCGTCCATGTATACCAGCGCCGCGAGAAATGTGGTTATGTTTTTACCGGATTTGAACCAGCGATCTCCTGTCTCGAGTGGGATACGTGTTTAAGCTATCTAGACTTTACTTGGTAGACCGGCCAAGACGATGTACCAGCGCACCATCCAACCATGGCGGTGTTTATAGTGTTGCCTGCACTCAATCAGTTCAGTCTGTGTTCTCATAGACAGTGAAGTTGCCTCTCGACCACATGCCTGAAACTGACCGATTAATCTAGAGCTGGAAAATGTTCGGTTCCCAGTGTACAGACGTAGGACAGCTTCTTGTCGAGATAGATGGTAATATTGGAAGTATATTTTGCTGCAACATGCGCAATAGCCGTTTCCAGATATTTGGTGGCTCCAATTATTTCAATCTCATGTATTTCGGCATAACATCCTTAAAGGACCTTTCCATGTGCGATACCAGTATTTGATCCGCGGCAGATACAATAACATGTTACGGTATTGTCAACTCCATCCAGTGATCCATCTGAATACACTTTAAGATCTAATGTGTGTGACGCTTTATGAGGGCTCACAATTTAACCATCTATATTAAAATAGCTAATTTATATATAATTCTATTAGGAAAACTTTTAGGGCATTTGGCACTGCAGTGATGCTACAAGTCTACAGCCTCTTTAGGTTGAAATTACATGATTGTCAAGATAAGCGGCGTTAGATCCCTCTACATCCTGAAAATGTTGGTTTAGTCTTCCTGCAGGCCCATGTCTAGTTCATTAACTACATTAGCAAGTTGGGGTACCTTCCAGCGATATACCGTGAATGTCAAAGTTAACGGGGACTTTCTTCAACTCCAAAGGAATTGAACAATAGTCCTCATTTAAGTTGAATAATCAGAATATCAAATTATCGGCTTACCCTACGCGTAAAAGTAGATGAGTCATCGTGTGGGGATCATATGATGACATTAGCATAACTGCGCTAGTCAGAATCCACAGTTTTTTTTTTTGCATCAGATTTTAATTGCGTACACAGCTATCTAGCTATGACACAATATCAAAGAAAAGTACAAAATAGATGATTCATCGTTAAGGAAGAGCACTTATGCCTCAGATTTCATTTGCAAGTACCACTGCGAAGTTATGGTGGCTTTTTCTTCACCCCAAGTCAACCCTCATCCGTGAATACCCACCCAGGGGAACATCTCAAAAACCCTGAGTTATCCAGACATGCCTCCATCATCTTTCAACTTTTCTCCGCGCGAAATATGGTCTGAGGCGTCTCCTTCCCAAGTGGAGTAGGTGCCCAGGCTACCCAGACTATACCGGAGAACACCACCAGGAGGCGGACCACAACACCTTCCATCGTTAGCTTGTATCTATAGTGTCAGCTACACTCTCGCAAGCGAAGTCTTGGCGCGCACAAAGCTCAATTCATAAAACTCTTGCCAAAATTCTAAATTTCTCGCCCGTCGAGGTTATATCCTTCCTTTGCATCATCTTGTAAACTTGTCCTGATCCCTCTCACGTCCATCTCAAAAAACAGTCTCCCATATTTGTGCGCCACGCTTTGTGTCCTCCGTCGGGTATAAATATCGGCGTGGGCGTGTATTTGGTGACCAGCTGAGGCCAGAAAAAGTCAACGAGACGTGTGGTCATTGGGATGAGGATGTACTAGGTCGTACTTGTAGACTTGATGAAGCTTAGTTAAGAATCGGACTCTTTTGGAGGGAAAGATTGAAATGGTGGTGTAATTTGAAAATTTGCCTCGTGGGCCAACTTCTTTGATATTGTGTGACTCAACTTGGCTCTGGGAGAATATTTCACTCCCAGGTTCGTAGAGGACACCGCGTACAGGTGTTCAGTCTTGCCCTCCGCTTTCACTCCATACAGATGTGTGCAGAAAATAAGAAGATATTTGATAAAATTAAGCATATGTTTGTATCGGTAGTCTGCATCGTGTAGTGAACATATTCATCATTTCTTTAAATCAACCTCGAGGCTAGTGCTTAATACTTCCAATACCCGAAACTAAAGCAACTGCGGTGCGGGGAGCTGCCTGATTAGAGGGATGCATAAGCGTAGCGTTGATACATACTGAACTTGAAGAGGTATGTATGAAATATATCTTTCGGTATCTTTTGTCTAAAAGGAAAGACCAGTTCTCACTGTATGAATCGGGCTTATGTCAGTGGATGTGCATTTAATGCCACTTACTAACAGTCGAACAGCGATAGGAGCTATTGGGGGTGTATCACGGTGTTGAAATAGAAATTGATATCTTGGAGAATTAAATTTGGGGGTTAAGGGTAGGCACAGGGCGCTGGAACGCGGAATTCAAAATTTTCATGTTTTGTCCTGGCTCGTGTAAAGCTGGTCATCTTGTTGTTCCTGATACCCTTGGCATCACTTACCCGTGTTGCCTTGAATTAGGAGCAGGGCTAGACCTGACGAGATGAAATAACAATCAACTTCCTCTCGAGCCACCGCCTAGGTCTCCGCATAGGTCAGAGGAACCGGCCATTCAAGTGCCCAGAAAGGTACCTCACGCGACTTCAGATCAGCGCCCAAAATATGCCGATGGCCGAGGACCCCGGCAAACTGTATTTCCCAAAATCTGAGCCCATCAGACAGCTCACTAGCGGTGACAAGCAGCAAGAAGCAGCTCACGCTAAGCAATGGATAGCAAGCCTGTCGGATGAGACAGTTTGCGCATACTCAGACGGCTCATCATGTGGACCTGCTAGATCGGCGTGGGGATACATCTTATACAAAGGAGGCCAGATGATTGGGAGTGATGCCGGTCCTCTGCCAGGGGCGGAGGTGTACGATGCCGAAATCTTTGGCGCCCAAAA